TGCTTGAGCCCAGGACTTTGAGATCAGCCTGGGCAACATAGCAAGACCCCTGTCTCTACCAAAAAAAAAAATTTTTTTTTAAAATTAGCCAGGCATGGTGGTGAGCACCTGTAGTCCCAGCTACTTGGGAGGCTGAGGCAGGAGGACTGCTTGAGTCCAGGAGTTCAAAGCTGCAGTGAGCTATGATCGTGCACCACTGCACTCTGGCCTGGGCAACAGAGCAAGACCCTGTCTGTGGAAAACAAATTTAAAAACACTGACACCTGTGTCCCACTCTGAGTGAATGTGATTAATTGGTGTGGGGGAGACTTGGGCTTTGTAATGTTTAAAAGAGTCCTCGGGTGATTCCAATGTGCACACAAGTTTGGGAACCACTGGCCCAGACTAATTTAGAATTTCTAGAGTTGGGCCAGGCGTGGTGGCTCACGCCTGTAATCCAAGCACTTTGGAGGCCAAGGTGGGCGGATCACCTGAGGTCGGGAGTTCAAGACGAGCCTGACCAACATGGTGAAACCCCGTCTTAATTATTTAAGAAAAAAAAAAAAAGAATTTCTAGAGTTGGGACCAGAGCATGAATATCTCTTTTTCAGTTTCCCGGATGATTTTAACGTGCAGCTGGGGTTTAACCACTTATATTGACTCTAGTCAAGAATCAGCCACATCGTTTGCTGTGGAGTTTAGTCTGTATAAGGTGTTCCCAAATCCACCTTCCAGCCAACCTCTCACCTGAGTTTCCATTCCATGCCTCTCCTACTGCCCAGAGGACCTTCCTAGCAATATGTCCCCATCACCCCTAACTCCACATGTCAACAGGGAGAGACCCCTGTCTTGCCTCGTGAAGCAGAAGTACACCTGGGTTTTACCACTGCCTAGAATGCAGGTGAGTTCTGGGATTTCTCCTCTGCCTTTCCCTCTGAACTGCCTTTTAGCTGTTCTTTCAGTCCATTCACACATCACCTCAATGCCTCCTATTTCCTGAAGACCTTATTCTAAAATGAGGGATATTAGGATGAACATACCTAGCTCTGCCCTGTGAGGAATAATCAATATCCCTCATCAACACAGCTTTCCCCAAGGTATGTAATATGCTGTAACACCCAGTAAGAAATCACTGCGCCTCAGCACTAAAGGCTCTGAGGTGGCCCACAAGAGAGAAACCTGTTTAATTTGGATTAGTCGGGCACCTCTCAAACTTCTGACTACAGAACTCCCCTCCTCCCAAGTTTTAAAGTTACACCATCGCAGCACAGTATAAGAAAGGCTAGACACCAGGCGAGCCAGCTTTGATTCTTCACCATACATTCCTCTTGATAGTAGGCCTTGTCACAGTGCTTCAACATGTCTCCCAATGTCACCTGCCCTAGACTGGACTCACACACTCCAGGCCAGCACTGCCAGGGCCCTGCTTGGCCTCTGCCACCCTTCCACCCTGCACACCTCTACCCCACTGCCTATAACCCTGATTTCACAATGGCTTCCCACCTCCAGGCAGATGAGTTAAAGCTGCATTCCTAGACTTGGGAGTATGACAGGCATGACCTCAAATAACTGGTTTGCCGTTTGCTAACTGCACAACCTTGAGCAAGTCATTCAACCTGAGTCCCAATTTCTTCACCTATAGAATAATGATTTAAACAGCAACATGGGCCGGGCGCGGTGGCTCAAGCCTGTAATCCCAGCACTTTGGGAGGCCAAGGCGGGTGGATCACGAGGTCAAGAGATCGAGACCATCCTGGTCAACATGGTGAAACCCCGTCTCTACTAAAAAAAAATACAAAACATTAGCTGGGCATGGTGGCGCGTGCCTGTAATCCCAGCTACTCAGGAGGCTGAGGCAGGAGAATTGCCTGAACTCAGGAGGCGGAGGTTGCAGTGAGCCGAGATCGCGCCATTGCACTCCAGCCTGGGTAATGAGCGAAACTCCGTCTCAAACAAAAAAAAAAAAAGAAAAAAAACAGCAACATGTTCATTGGTGGTTGTGATGAATAAATGAAATAATGTACTGTGAAGTGCTGAGCACAGTGCCTCGTTCGTGGAAAGCATTCAGTGAAAGTCCATCTGTTCCTCCATGCCAAGTCTCACCTTCTTCAGAGCATTCCTGAACCACTCCACCATCTCCCTGCAGGGACCAGAGGCAGCTACATTCCTTCCAGGTTGCCACTTAAATTTGCCCTCTGAGTTTGTTGGTTTTATAAATTCCCTAAACCCAAGGCCAATCGGCTTCCTGTTCATCACTCCCTCCTCACAGCTGCCTGCCTTTGTGCTTGCTACACCTGTCTTGTATTCACCTACTTTTCTCCTAAACCCAACTAGAGGCCTTAAGGGCAGGGCCTTGCCTCATTCATGTATGTAACATCTGCACATACCAAGCACCCAGCAGGCCCTAGCCAGTGCTTGATGGATAACAGACCCAGACCCCCAACCAGGGAGAACCAGGGAGAGCAAGCACCATGCTGTATGAACCCTGCCAAGAGAATGTGTTATGGAAACAGAAAGGGCCAAATCAATCCAAAGACCTTTGTGGCAGTGGCTATTCATCAAATTCTGCGCAAACGGACCAGGAAAGAGGTCAAGATTCACGTGGCCAGCAAATGTCTGTCGTTTTTGCAACTCTTCCCCAACCCACCAAACCACGTGGCAGAACATAACTGCTCCTTTTGTTTGAGACAGTGTCTTGCTGTCACCAGGCTAGAGTGCAGTGATGCGATCTCAGCTTATTGCAACCTCCGCGTCCCGGGTTCAAGCGATTCTCCAGCCTCAGCCTCCCAAGTAGCTGGGATTACAGGCGCCTGCCACCACACCTGACTAATTTGTGTATTTTTACTAGAGATGGGGTTGCATCATGTTGGCCAGGCAGGTCTCAGTCTCCTGGCCTCCAGTGATCTGCCTGCCTCAGCCTCTCAAAGTCCTGGGATTACAGGCATGAGCACTGCGTCTGGCCCACAACTGCTCCTTTATCTGAACTCTCCTGTTCCCTACTGTTGCAGATGTGATGAAGGAACCACGTTCTGGGCCACGTACCCCTGGGCTTGAGCCTCGGCTTTGCCATTTGCTCCTCTTAGGCCAAACTCAAGTAGGGTTAATAATCCCTAACTGCGAGAGCCACAGAAGATATTACCTAGAACATACAGGCAATGACTGCACATAGTAGGCACTCAGTAAATGTTCTCTCTTGCCATATCCTTAAATAAAACAAGAAGTAGGGCCAGAGAAGATGGTGAAAATAATGAGATACTGACATCTTGTGTTATAGGACAGTGTTTCTCAACTAGAGGCAATTGTGCCTCCCAGGGACATTTAGCCACATCAGGAGACATTTTTGATGGTCACAACTGGCGTGGGGAAGGTGCTACTGGCATCTAGTGGGCAGAGACCAGGGGTGCTGCTAAACATCCTACAATGCACAGGACCACCTCCACGCTCCCCACAGCAACAAATAATTACCTGCCCCTAAATATCAACAGTGCTAAGGCTGAGAAATCCCATAACCCTGTTATAGGATAAGAACTCAGATGTCTCAACCCCTTTCCTTCCCTCCAGCCATCGTTTAAAAAAAAAAAATCCGTCCTCTCTAGACTCAAGCATCAAAAGCAGAGCTGAGAGGCAGCCCCGTCCTCCTGCCTCTCACCTTCTTTCCCCAGTACACATACAAACCTGCCAATGCCGGTGGACAGGATGGCAGTGGAGGTCTTCAGTTCCTCATAGAGATCAGCACCATTCAAGGGGAAAGCTGAGAACTGAGCCAGCAGCACCCGCCTCAGGGCAACCAGGGCCTGCCAAAGGGGCCCAGACTGCTCAGCAAAGAACCGCCCGTAGAAGCTGGCATCCCAGGGTCTCATTCACCCCGCTTATTAATCTCTGAGAACCCTCTGCTCCCCTTGGCTTGGAATGGACTTTTGTTATTATTGTTGTTTTAGAGAGTCTCACTCTTGTCGCCCAGACTGGAGTGCAGTGGCATGATCTTGGCTCACTGCACCCTCAGCCTCTGGGGTTCAAGCAATTCTTGTCTACCGAGCAGCTGGGACTGTAGGCGTGCGCCACCACACCCAGCTAATTTTTGTATTTTTAGTAGAGACGGGGTTTCACTATGTTGGCCAAGCTGGTCTCGAACTCCTGACCTCTGGCTTCAAGTGATCCGCCCACCTTGGCCTCCCAAAGTGATGGGATTACAGGCATGAGGCACCGCACCCAGCCGGTTTGGGATGGACTTTAAAGACACTCAGGTTTGGAGGGTGGAGATCCGGAGCTCACCTTGTAAGACAAGCCGCATTTCTGAGCTACCTCCTCCAGGTCTGCAGAAACCAGGTCCACCACTGAAAACAGAACAATATAGAGGTTTGGCAGAGAGGCCTGGGGCCTCCCGCACTAGGTTTTTCCTCATCTGTAAAATGGGGTGTCAATTCTACCTCCCAGCAGGCCGTCTCAGGAGGCCAGTGTGCAATAACAGAGCTGCTGGGGCTGGCGCGGTGCCCTGCACACAGCAGGAATCCTCTACTCTGCTTTAGAGCTTGGTTCCCCACGCCCACCCTTCCCGAGCCTCTCCAGAAGCATGGCTCTCTAGGAATGGAGGGGAAGCGCCTTGCAGGTATGCCAGGACAGTGTGCCAGCCCTTGGGGCCTATCCAGGCTGTGCGCGGGTCGCGCGGCTCCCTGGCACGCGCACACACGGTCACCTGTCTTGATCCCACGGCTCCTGAGAAGCTGGATCATCTCCTGGGTGAGGCCTGGGCACAGTCCGACCCTAAGCACGCCCATGTTCCCCACAGGCCCGGACAGCCCCAGGGGGACTGCCCGTCACGTGGGCATCCGCGGGGCCCTCTCTAGACGCCCCTCCACGCCCCTTCCTAGAAAGGACACCGGCGCGCTGGCTGCGGGAGGAGGAAGGAGGGAGGAGGAGGCGGCGCCGAGGGTCGGACTGGGGGCCATCCGCCCTCCCGGGATCCGCCGGGATTCCCGCGCCCAGAGCCCGCCCGCCTGGTCGCGCCTTGCCGCCGCTTCCGGGTTCCCGGCTGGCGCGCGGCGAGGGCCTGGCCTGCAGCGCCATCTGCGGGCCATGCGGGGCGGAGCCGCTGCGCCCCCCTGCACCCGGCCCGCCGAGAGCGCCCCTCTCCACCGCCGCCCGCTGGCCACCCGCAGGCGCAGGTTCCCGCGTCCCACGACCCCCTCCGCGCTCAACCCGCCCACGGCCGCGTCGCAGTTGGCGTCTACCTTCTTCCGCAACACACACACCGACCTTCTAAAGAGCCTCCTGTGTGCTAGCTTCCGTTCCAAACGCTGGGGACAAAATATGACACAAGACGACCTGCCCTTACACCCAGGGCGCTTACCCGTGAGCGAGGGAAATATAGACAATGAAAACGAATTGCAAAAATCACACCATTGCAGATTATACGACAGGTGCCAAGAAGCAGCACCCAGAGGGCACCTGCGTCTATTTTTCAAAAGTTTGTTTTGGTTATGACAGGATCTAGGTCTGCCGTCCAGGCTGGAGTGCCCTGGTGAGATCTCAGCTCATTGCAGCCTCCTGAGTAGCAGCTGGGACTGCAGTCACGTGCCACCATGCCCGGCTAATTTCTGTATTTTCTGTGGAGGTTTCCCCTCTACAAAACGGGGTTTCACCATGTTGTCCAGGCAGGCCTCAAACTCCTGGGCTCAAACAATCCTGCCTTGGTCTCCTAAAGTGGTGGGATTAGAGGTGTGAGCCACCGTGTCCGGCCTTTTTTTTTTTTTTTTTTAAAGACTCTGTCGCCCAGGTTAGAGTGAAGTGGGCGAATTTGGCTCACGGCAACCTCTGCCTCACAGATTCAAGCGATTCTCCTCCCTCAGCCTCCTGAGTAGCTGGGATTACAGGCACCCACCACTGAGCCTGGCTAATTTGTGTATTTTTAGTAGAGACAGGGTTTCACCATCTTGGCCAGGCTGGTCTCGAACTCCTGAGCTCAGGATCCACCCCCTTGGCCTCCCAAAGTGCTGGGATCACAGGCGTGAGCCACCGAGCCTGGCTTTTTTTTTTTAAGGTCGAAAAACCTTGGTTATATAGAATACACACTCACACACACAAAATGATTTGCTATTTTTAAATGTCCTTTGCTTTGCCTTATCCACTGGAAGAAATAAAACTTTACATGGTTATCTCCTTACAAATCTATGAGGGAGGCGCTATTTTTTATCCCTGTTTCACCAATGAAGAAACTGAGGTTAAATCACTTGCCAAAGGTCACCCAGCCAGGCAGCACAGGGCTGGATTCATATCCACATCTGGCTGCAGAGCCGGTGGTTTGTAACAGCCTCCCTCCCACCCCTGAAGCTGTGTACATGTTTTCCTACTACTGTCAGGTGGTTTCTCTGAGAGCAGAGATCAGGTGTGGCCCATCTCTGTATCCCGCTGCAACAGCCACCATTGTCACTCAACAAAGGAAGGTACTTGGGAGTACGGGTGTGGCACATGTCGAATTCTAGCAGGGAAGTCTGATCATATGTGAGCCATGAACCCCTATGAGCTATCTGGGCTTTCCCTTTCTGTAACCGACTGGGCACAGTGGAGTCTGCTGCCTATGGTTTCAGGATAGAGAGCCTTAGCATCTATGGACAAAGTCTCCCTCCTCCACAGACACTTTCCAATACTGCCTCTCTCTCAGGGCTGCACTGCCTTCCTCTACACCCCATGCCCATCTCTCACCATCCTTGTTCTCCTTCCCACCAGGGCAGTGCCAAAGGGCACAGGTATTAGGCATTTTGAGATCACCAGAGAAGGGCAGGGCTGCTATCACCATGGAGTATTAGAGCTGGAAGGGGCCCAAGGGCTCATCCAGTCTGTTCCTTGGTTCTACCGCTCTCATAATGCTGGTTCTCTGTCACACTGGCCCTTGGTCTGGCCAGCCACATAGCTAGCCAGGAGCAGTAGCCTCAAACCAAGGGGAGGCTGGCATTAATTGTTACACTCTGTGATGATTATGAAGTCAGCTCATTGCACCTGCATCCTGCCCATACTAAAGGTGGGGACTGCCCCCACAGTTTCTCTCTGCTTCTGGTCAACTGGGTTGACCTGCACAGTGACAGCTGTCATCCCAAACAAACCAGATGGCATCAGAGGCACTCCACCAAGTGGGAGATGGGGAGGAGGCTGTACTGAAGAAAGAAAACGTCAACATGATGAATGCCCTCGACCAACTGCCAAAGCCCTTTCCAAACCCCAAGTCTATGAACCGGACCGTCACTACCAAAGGACTCCCACTATCCTCAAAAGGCAGTTTGGTCAACTTCTTGGAGGATGATACCATCAACCTACCGTAAGACACAAGTCTGGTCCCTTCCTTTCTTCCTTTCTTTTTCTTTCATTTCTTCCTTTCCTTCTTTCTTCCTTCCTTCACTCTTTCTTTCTTCTTCCTTCCTTCCTTTTTCTTCCTTTCCTTCCTCCTTTCCTTCCTCCTTCCTTCTTCTTTTCTTCCTTTCTTACTTTCCTTCCTCCTTTCCTTCCTCCCTTCCTCCCTCCTTCCTTCCTCCCTCCCTCCCTCCTTCCTTCCTTCTTTCCTTTTTTCCCTTTCTCTCTTTCTTTCTTTTTGAGATAGGGTCTTGCTCTATTGGCCAGGCTGGAATGCAGCAGTGCAATCTCGGATCACTGCAGCCTTGACTTCCTGAGCACACGTGATCCTCTTACCTCAGCCTCTCAAGTAGCTGGGACTATTGATGTACTGCCACCACACCTGGCTAATTTTCTTTTCTTTTCTTTTCTTTCTTTCTTTCTTCTTCTTTTTTTTTTTTTGTAGAAATGGGGTTTCACTATGTTGTCCAGGCTGGTCTTGAACTTCTGGGCTCAAGTGATCCTCCCATCTCAGCCTCTTACAGTGTTGGGATTATAAATGTGAGCCACTGTGCCTATAGTTTCTAAGAAAGGCTGGAGCTGAGGGCTGGGCAAAGAGACTTAAAGAAACTATACTTCCATGACTTGTCACAACCCAGTCCCTTGACTCACAGAGAAGAGCGTGTGGGCAGGTTGGATCTATTTATGTATTCCTGATCCCCACCTGACTTCCTGGTGGCATATGGACCTCCTACTCCAGGAGGCCTTCCTGGATTAGTCAGTTTCGTTGACAGTGCTCCTTATCTTATCCTTCCTTGTTTGGCTGTGGTCCTCACCATCACCAAACCCCCGACACCCCCATGACACCTCCTCAACCCTCCCCCTTTGGTACCTTCATCTAACTATGTTCCCCAATAGCCTACCTTCCTTCAGATTTGGGTTTGCTGTTCCTCCTCACTGAGTCTGGGTTTCCTCTACTTCATTCCACAAAACTCTTTGAGCACCTGCAAGGTGTCTCATCCAGAGTTTAAGTTCTGGGAATGTAGAGCTGGAAAGCACAGTCCCTGCCTTTAAGGAGCTCCCAGTCCAGTGTGTGGAGATCCGGGGTGGGAGGATGGGGATCGTGCAACAGGGAGAATGATAAGCATGGTCTGGTAAGTGCTATGACAGGATGCCTAGAGGGACCAGAGGGGCTTACTATAGCTTGAGACTGGATGCGGTTGAGGGAGGCTTCTTGGAGGAAGTGATATTTGAGCTGAGTCTCCAAGGAAGGAAAAGAGCCAGTGAAGGGGCGGTGGTGAAGGGTGATATGGGCTGGGGGAATTACATGCAGGGCATTTTTATGGGTGGGCGACCTGTGCAGTCACACAAAGCCCTGCACTTAACAAGGGGTCTGTGTTTAGTTTAATGCTTTGCTGTTACTATTTTCAAATTCATATTTTTTGAATAAGGGGCTCAATGTTGGCCGGGCGCGGTGGCTCAAGCCTGTAATCCCAGCACTTTGGGAGGCCGAGGCGGGTGGATCACAAGGTCAAGAGATCGAGACCATCCTGGTCAACACGGTGAAACCCCGTC